TCCCCACCATCCGCCTGCAGCTCGCCCCACAGCCAGCCCCACACCGCGCCCCACACACAGCCAGGGACACTGCAGAGGGGACTCCCAGGGCTCCACCAATGCCCACTGCTCCCCAGAGCATGGGCCCAGCCCCGTGCCTCCGTTCTTTCCACGCGCTGTGGCCAGATCCCTTCCCACCTTGCACCCCAGAGCCACAACGCGCCATGACCTCCGAGCAGCTCCACTACAGGACAGAACAGCCAGCTGGCAACCGGCACCTGCAACCAAAGCGTGGCCAAACCCCCCCCCCTCCCTGCAGGGTGTTCCCAGTGCCGTGGGGGTGATATGGGTGAGAGCGGGGTGTCCCCGGCCTGGCTCCCCACAATGGCGCTGGCGCTGCTCTCGCTGGCCCTGGGCCCGGCTGGGACGCTGAGCAAAGCCCCACATCCCGTGCAGTCGGCACAGGGAGCACGCAGCCTGCCCTGCTGCCAGTGCTGCGGGCACGTGGGGACCCGGCACGGCTCGTGGTGACCCCCAGCCACCTCTGCCCCACGCTTCGTGGCTCCAGCATCGCTCTCTCATCTTCTCCTTGAACACCCAGGGACAGGTAAGGAGGGAGCATCCTGGCGGGTGCAGACCCTGTGCCCCTACTCTCCGTGCCCCTTACCTTCTTCTGCTGGCATCTCCGTCCCATCGCAGGTGCTGATGAGCCCCACCACGACAACGGCCCAGAGACCCCTCATGGTGCCCTTGGCAGCAGCTCGGGGTCAACTCAGCTGCCTGCAGGTGGGAGATGGGCAGTCAGGCAGGTGGGCGGTAGGCCCCAGCCATTCCCCACACTGGGAAGCCGACTGCGAGCCACCAGCATGGAGGAGGCCCTGAGTCACTTGGCCACAGCTCACACAGCCTTCGGGGCTGCAGTGAGGCCCCCACCCACTGCTGGATCCCCCCCCCCAGACTTCACATTCAGGGTCGCTACCCGACCCACAAACCCCAACGTTCAGACGCACCCCAAAGTCAGGTTGAGGCTCCCCAGAGCCCCACGTGCTTCCTGCTGAGGACCCCAAAAGAACTCTCCGTTCTCTTTTGCCTCCCGGACCCACGTGGTTCCCTGGAGTGGTCCAAAGCCCTTCGGGTCACTGCGACCTG